TTGGATGTCAACGTGTACCTGATCATCGCCATCTGCGCAGTGTCCAGCCTGCTGGTGCTCACGCTGCTGCTGTACACGGCGCTGCGGTGCTCGGCACCGCCCACAGAGGGCGCGTGCGGCCTGGGGAAGCCCACGCTGGTGTGCTCCGGAGCGGTGGGGAGCTGGTCGTACTCGCAGCGGAGGCAGCAGAGGGTGTGCTCTGAAGAGGGGCCGCCCAAGACCGACCTCATGGCTTTCAGCCCCAGCCTGCCTCAGGGTCCAGACTCCACGGAGGAAAGACAACAGCCCTCAGAATCAGAGCACTTAGGAAAGGTGAGCCTTTTCATTTTTTTCCCTACCAATTCTAGAACTATTCCTGTTTTTATTTCTTATAATATATATTAATTATTTAGGTTCATAGATCTGCCGTTATTTTATATCATTATCCTACTATGCAATATGGGGTATAAATTAGATATCAGATTCTTGCATTGAGAATTGAAATGCTTTTCTTATTTTTACATCGTCAAATTCTACTCCAATTGACTTTTCCATAATTAAATCTATCCATGAGTAAAAAGAACCTTGAAGTATTAAATAACACTTTAGTAAAATTTAATATCACATGTAAATATTTTTCTCTCGAATTTTTTAAGATCACAATTGAAAAAAATTAAAGAATATGATTATAATACATATTTCCAATTTGCATAATATATTCATTATGTCAGAATATGTTTGGACATTTCCTAGATTATTCTTTGGATCGTGAATTAATTTATCTTTACCTATTTATGCAACAGTTACTTTTTTCTTTTTCTTGTGTTTGAAAACACCTTGAATGGATATTTTAATGCCAGGACCCTGTAAATTGTCTATCATAGGTCATTACAATACCTAAACTTAGGTATTTCTATTACAAGTAAAATAACCTGTCATTTGGGACAAAGATATCACACTTGCAACATCTTTGGAGTTTTAATGCACACTAGAGAGTTCGCTGAGGACAGAATACCTCTTAATTATGTTTAATTCAAAAATCTTAACATTTTAAAATCACACTGTGGCCGGACGGTGGGACTTTTTCCTCATACAAGTGGAGAATTCTAACCCAGAGTCTTAACATTAGCAGGCTGATCAGTATCAGCATCATTGGGTCAATGTATGAAGGTCTCATACTATGCTTTGAGATGCCTCACTATTATAATACTGTACATTTCATGACATTTAATAGTTACACTAACTGAAAATGGAATGCCAAGTGAAAATTTAGAAGAGTAGGTTTCATAATTATTATCAGGAGTCACCTGATAATTGATCACCTTCCTCTGTCACCTCACTTTAGGTCTGGGGTAACATTTTCTACGAGTCTGTAGGTTCACTAAATTTCACCTGGCGACATAGATATTCTTAAAGAAGTTGGAGTTTTTCCAAGGTTAAAGATTGGTATTTGATGACAATGTTTCATTTGAAACTCCTGTGTTGTCTATAGTTAACACACTAATCTAAAATGGTCTTCTACTGTTTGGTTCTTAGTTATTTGCTATTTTCCTCCCAAATATATGTGGATAGTGATGTATGATAGAAATAAGTTCCACTCAGTGATCTTAGCCTCAGCCATTTCACAGATAGGCCAGAACATCAATTTCCATCTCTAATCCGCTTTTAAAGGGTTTGAGGAGTTTGCTGGGGAAATCTTGAATTCCATTTAAGGATAGTGTATTCCTACAGGAAACTTCTTAGATCCTCCAAGTTGATAAACCGCAAGATGCAGAGAGTATGTATTTCCTGGTAATCAGAAATTTTCATCTGAGGCTTTTACAAAGAAAAATTAATGGCTTGGATAAGTGAGGAAGAAGTTCTTTCTTGGGAGAAGCCATCCTACCTAGAGTGCCATAACTTCTTCCCACTTCCTTGAGACTCCTGTGCAGAATGTATGAATGGTCAGGTGGAATTTGTCCTACTGGAAGGCTGGCCATTACATTTCTACCATAGGTAAATGATAAGCTTTTAAAATTATATCCAGGTGTTCCCAGATCTATTGGTCTATAAATTCTTGTTAGTTTCTTATTCTTATTTACATTTTTTAAAACTAAATTTGCCAAGGAAGTGACTAGATAAGAGTGGAAATTATTCATTGTTTCTTATCCACACATTGGCTCAACCTTCTAAACTCATAGTTCCTTTAGTATTATATTCATCTCCTGATAATAATTATGAAATCAACTCTTTTAAGTTCTCATGTGGCATTCCATTTTGCAATTAGTGTTAACTCTTAAATGTCATGAAATGTGTAGTATTATAATAAATTGTCAGGGGCATCCCATTAATATGAAGTCCATGCTGTTTTAAAATTTTAATTTTGTCTCTCATTTTAAAACTAGCTACAACCTTTCAAGATTCATCAAAGTATTAACTGGCAGATCGATGTCTATAATTATTTCCTAGATCCATACCTTTCGGAAATAATTTTTAAGTATTTCCTTACCTTTTCTTCATGAACTAGTACAATAGAATCAATTAGAAATTAATTAAACTTGATTATGTTTAATATGAGGAAACATCATTAGTGTAAATCACTTCTTTACTTATCTTGCCTGAGAGAGTTAATTTAAAATGTTCATTTATTAAAACATTAACTGATAATGTATTTTATTCTAAACATGGAAGATAAAAATGAGTAAAAGCGGTCCTGGTTTGCCTTCAATGAGTGCACTGATAAAAAATGCTGGTATGAAAACTTTTCTACTAATACTTAAATCATGTGTTTGATTTCATTGAAAAAAAATCTGGCTGTAGACAAAACTTGGGGCATTCTCTTACCTCCGTAAATTCAGCCTCTTTTCATGAATTTCCTCTGCTCTACTTCCAGGTGCTCAGAGAACTCATGCCTCTCATTGTATTCACAGAGCTCTTTAGAATATTTCATTGCCTAGTCTTACATATGTTGAGTAGTGACTCACTGTCCAAAGTTACATTTCTCTCATTACTGATTGGTTAAATCACCAATGCTTTCAAGTAACAAGTTTTAAGGAACTGGAATCCAGAAATTCATCCAGAGTGGAGATCGTCCAAAATGAGAAAAAAAAAAAAACCCACAATTATTTCATATGTAACTTTTTAGGATATTAAGGTAAATTCAAAAGTATCAATGGTATTGAAAATTAAAAAAATGAATATAATCTTGCTTGGTATAATGGGAATGTAACCAATATCCAAATCATACAGTATTGTCATGCAACAACAACAAAAAATCTACAAAAGAACCACAGTGTTAAAGACTGGCTTCTAATACCTTTATATAAATAACAGGTAAGAAAGCTAACAAGGATATAGTTCTTGAATAAAGGACACAGGAATGGTTTGTAGACACTCTACAGATTAATAAGTTTAAGTGAACATATTTTGTAAATTGACAATTCCCATAATAGTATTTATAATAACATAAAATATGTATATATATATATACACATTTTACAAACAATTCAATGTGTCTAAGTTTTGATACTCACAAATCTCAAGGAAATAATTTTTCTATAACATGTAGCCTTGAAGCTCAACCGGTTAGAAGCTTGACATCTCGAGTCAGACGAGATCCTACCTAAAAATGGTCAATCAGTGTTTTAAATTTACTTTTAATATTTCCACTTTCTTATTTGTAAAAGGTGAATAATATTAATACCTATCTCAGAGGGTTGTTGTGGGAATTAATGGAATAATGTCATTAAAACAAAGAGAACAGTGCCTAATAGATACCCACTACTGTTAATTAATGTACTGTATGTCATGAATTGGCGTAATTGAAAGAGCTGAATCAGTGTAAAAGTTTTAAGGATATATTTTGATAAAATATAAAGACTTTGAGGAGTGCTTGCAGGACATTACACCTGAAAATTGAAAGTTTGGGGAAGGTCAGAGTGTAAGGAAGTTAAATGCCATTTATTTAATACTTACATATTTAACCACATGATGTCGCTGTCCACCACGTCTTTCTCCACGAAAGAAATAGCGTACAATACGTATTCAGACGCTGCTTTTCCTCACCATCTCTGAAATATTGGTACAGTAAGGAGATTCAAGAAATGAAGAACAAGAAACTCAAACTGTTTTTCTAATTTTGGATAAGTATTAGAGAGACCCTATATTTGGAAAAGTCTTGCAGTGGTATTTTCCTGGCGAGGAGATCTGGAAACCAGCCGCCTGCTGCTCTCGCTTCTGCTCCTTGCAGCCTGAGAGGCGGGGAGAGGCCAGGTCCACTACTCCGTCTCCGAGGAAGCCAAACGCAGGACCTTCGTGGGCCACATCGCGCAGGACCTTGGGCTGGAGCTGGCGGAACTGGTGCCGCGCCTGTTTCGGGTGGTGTTCAAAGGCCATGGGGACCTTCTGGAGGTAAATGTGCAGAACGGCATTTTGTTTGTGAATTCTCGGATCGACCGCGAGGAGCTGTGCGGGCGGAGCGCGGTGTGCAGCATCCACCTGGAGGTGATCGTGGACAAGCCGCTGCAGGTTTTCCATATGGAGGTGGCAGTGAAGGACATTGACGACAATCCCCCTATTTTTCCAGTGGCAGTAAAAAAAAATTGTTTATTTACGAATCCAGGCATCCTGGTTCTCGGTTTCCGCTAGAGGGCGCATCAGATGCAGCTATCGGAATGAATTCTCTGTTGACCTACCGGCTTAACTCCAATTATTCTACTTTGGATGTTAAAAGAAATGATGAGGAGATGAAATCTCTTGGACTTGTGTTGAAAAAAACTTCTAAACCGAGAGGAAACTCCTGAGCGTCATTTAGTAATAACGGCAGTTCACGGTGGGAAACCAGAGCTCACTGGCACAACTCAACTCAAAATCACTGTGTTAGATGTAAAGGACAACGCCCCAGTGTTTGATAGGATGGTCTACAAAGTGAGATTATCCGAAAATGAGCCAAATGGTACCCTGGTAGTGATTGTTAATGCCTCTGATTTGGATGAAGGTGTAAATAAGGACATTGTATATTCTTTCAATACAGACACATCAGCAGATATTCTGTCGAAATTCCACCTGGATCCGGTCAATGGACACATCAGTACAAAGGGTAACATAGATTTTGAGGAAACTAAATCATATATAATCCAGGTAGAAGCAATGGGTAGAGGAAATCCCCCAATGACAGATCACTGCTCTGTTCTGTTGGAAATTGTGGACACCAATGACAGTGCACCTGAGTTGGTTATCAAATCATTATCCCTACCTGTATCTGAGGACTCTCCACTCGGCACTGTCATCGCCCTGATCAGCGACTCCGGTGTAAACGGGCAGGTAACCTGCTCTCTGACGCCTCATGTCCCCTTCAAGTTGGTGTCCACCTTCAAGAATGACTACACTCTGGTGCTGGACAGCGCCTTGGACCGTGAGAGCAAGTC